TGTACCGGAGAGACCGTATCGGTCACGTGGGCCAACACGTGCCATTTCGTCAGACACCCATGCATAGCCACGTACAAGCATCACCATCAACGTCGGCTCGGCATGAGGCCGAGAACCGACATCAGTCTGGTTAATGCAAATATGGACCATCATCACTCATCGATTCGGCTCGGTCAGGTACCGTTCCGACACAGAACATACCGGAAGTATACAAGCTGCCGTATACGGACTAGACGGTTCGGTCATTTGCCGTTCCGACTAGTATTCATTAGCCGGCTCGGCCTCTGGCCGAAGGGTTAAGCAAGTCATAACAAGTAATCACAATCAAGAAAGGTAAGTACATGATTAAAGCCTAAACGACCAATTAGTACCGTATTACCTAATTTGGTAAATATCTGAGAGGGCCCATCACGCTCAGGCCCATGTCAGATGCTATAAATAGGTCACACGTAACAAGGTATGTCACTGTTCATTCATTACCCTAGAAAATCGTGCCCACACTGACTTAAGCATCGGAGTATCTTTTGCAGGTACCTCCCCCTCCAAAGAATCCACCTAGAGCTCTCGTTCGGTCCTCATATTCCCCTGAAGATTACGAGTGTACCCTCAGGCAGGTACAAAAATCTTTGTCACATTAATGCAAAAGAGACAAAGTTATAAAGAAATTAACAATAAATGTTAAAAAATAAATTACAAAAATAAACATAAAGACTAGAATTATCTGTTTCTAAACAATAAAAATTAAAATGTAAAATAAGTAAAATTATAAAAATTAAAATAATATTTTAACCATTAATAAATAAGGGCTAAGAGTTCATGCTGACATGTATGATGTACGCATGGTTGCTTGTTGTCCTATATCCGCATCACCATATCAGAAATGGAAGGTAATAAATATTAAAAATGATATTTATGTGTACAAGAAACGGAAATAAAAAAAAATGTGAAGATAATATAACATAGGCTAAAAAGAGTAAAAGAGAAAGGAAGATGATAAATGAAAGTAAATTATGTTAGTGTATAAATATCATCCTTGAATAAATACAAACATTTTAACTTAGGAAGTATTGGACAGTACCACATACGTAAATCTCTTAAATATATTAAATAAGACTTAATTTCTATTTGTATACATAGAAATGATTTTACAGAGAAAAATAAACCTCATTTTTGTTAATTTTTATGTCTTGATAAACTTTTGTCCTCTAACAAGTTAATAATATCCTTAGTTCATATATCAATAAGAAAGAATAAATTTAGATACAATTTGTTTGTATTATAACCAAGTAAAATCATATGTTCTGAAAAAAAATCTAGCATAGTCGATTCAAACATATAAATAGTAATAATATATATTTTTTAAAAATTATTTGAAATTAAGTTTTTTTTAATAATTTACATACTATTTAGAGGTTTTTTTTTGTTATTTTATAATTTTACTAATAATAAATAATTACATGCAACATCAAGTAAATGAAAAAATAATTATAAATTATAAATTATTTTTATATTATTCTTTAAGTATAAAATATGGTGATAATAATTTTTGATTTTTTAAGTGTTAGAAAGTGCTCAATAGGGATGGCAAAATAGGTCGTGGCCCGCGGGCCGGCCTGCTGGCCCGCCAAAAATTGGCGGGTCGGGCCCAATATTTCAGCCCGCCAACCCGTCAAGCCCGCCCCGCCAACCCGGTGGGCCAAATAGCGGGCTGGCCTGTCCCAACCCACCAAGCCCGCATAGGTAATTTATTGATTTAGTGATTGGGCTAGTATAAATAATAGGCTTAATAAAAAAAAATTAGGCCCAATAGAGCCCATTTCCAGCCACAGCCAAAACCTAAATCAATTCACTAGTTGTCATTTTTAACATTTTTCTTAAGTAAATGAAATTAATATTGGTACATGTTGGTGAATGCATAAAATTAACTGTAGAATGCGGGCCACTGCACAAGTGCTTATGTTATGTGTGCCTCCTGGTACTTATGGTAACAAGCAATGATTCCTTTTTTTATAATTTTTTTTTCATTTTTTTATTTAAAATAAAATATATTTTTTTTCCATTTTTTTACAAAATATTTTTTGGGTATACGGGCTGGCCCGCCAACCCATCCTTAGGCGGGACGGGCCAGCATTTTCAACCCGTTTTTCCTTGGTGGGCCAGCCCGGCCCGGCCCGTTTTTTGGCGGGCCATTGGCGGCCCATTTTGCCACCCCTAATGCTCAATATACGATGATAATAAATGATATTAATAACTAATATTTTAATATGTGTATTTTATATACTAAAATATTTATTATATATAATTAAATTTTATGATAAATAATATTTAAATATATAAATTATATTTAAAATTTGTATAAATATATATTTTAGATATATAAATTATATTCTTGCAAATAAACATATAAATTATATTTAGATTTAAAGTAAATACTTGTGATATACGATTATTTTTAATTATCAATTTTAAAATATGAAAATTTAATATAAAAAATGGGATAAATAAAAAATTAGAAAACATTTAAAAAAATTATAAAATGTTTCTGTTGTACAATAACCTTAAAAAAAAATGGTGGCAGGGTTGATTTTTTATTTGTTGACTTTGTAGAAAGTGTGTAACTGAAGGGAAGAAGGATGATAGGATTGGACATTGGTATACATATATTCCTCAATCCTCATGGTCTCAAATTTGCCATAGAGAGAATAGTGAGTGACTCTTGAGTTCCTGTAAATGGTCACTTCTCAGTTCTCATTTGAGTTTTTCAACACAATAGTAACATTGCTCTAAAATCTAAATCTTATGGCGTCGATCACTGCCCCGAGTTCTCTTCAGATTCGATTAGCTTTCAGTGCTTCCAATTCCACTAAATTCCCAATCCTCCTCCACTCACGCCTCCCCCACTCCGATCGCCGCCTTCGTTTTCTCTGCGTTGCAAATAACGGAAACGGGTCGGACACTCCTCCCATTCGGGTCGGGTCGAATGACCGCTCCGATTCCGAGGTTAAGAACAATGTATCGTATGGAGGTGAGGGAACTTCTTTAAATTCCAGATCTTTCTGTTGCTAACGATTGTAAGATAATAACTTATTCTAATATGAACTGTCCTAATTTGTTTTCTTCATTAACAAGTTATTATTCGGCGTGGTAATTATTTAAATTTTGATGTGCTTGTTGCTGCATTTTGAATGTTTGCTTGCATTGTTGCTCTTAATGGGATTGGTTTTTCCATCATTTGTTTGCCTTGTACTAGAACGCACCTGCTTCATGGATTAATTATTGGTATGTTAGTGTTGATTTGTGAGGTCGGCATTTTGTCGTAAAGTTGGATACAAGCTCAAAATTCTTTGGCAAGCTTCTCAGCTGAAAAAAAAAAAGTTCTTTATTTTTAGTAAAAAGTTCTAAAAAAACGATTCTAAGTTTGTATCAAACAAGCTCTTAGTAATCCTCACAACTTGACACTTTTGAAGTAGTTTGCTTTCAGGAGCTGTGGGAGTGGGGGTGGCTGGAATCTTTCTTCTTTCAGGGCTTGTTTTTGCTGCCTTGTTTGTCAGCAGACGAAACAGTGCCAGTAAGTGTGTGTGTGTGTGTTTTTTTTTTTTTTTTTTTTTTTTTTTTT